TTTGTTTTCCTTGCGCCGTATGCCGTATGCCGTATGCGGCATGCGGAGGAGAGCAAGACGGAGCATAATGACTTATGTATCGGGCCTCCGAATAGTATGCCAGACATAATAATGTCGGCAAGGAAAGCGGAAGAAATGAGAGGAAAATAATGATGTCACGAATAAACGCCGCGGAGTCGAAGATATGTAAGCACAGAGCGGGTCGGTGCCAAATAGTGAAGGAGATACGTACTATGTAGTATCCGAGTGCGGTTGTTTCGATAGCCAGCAAATTCTAACAATGGGACCCGAGGAAATTTAAGAGCGATCTCGATTTTGGAGAGAGATCGGTCTCCGCCTGATGGAGGGCCCCAGAACTTTAGCAAGGGACTGGATGAAAGCGGATATCAAGCCCCACATGGAGCTTTTTGGGGGGGGGGTTCTTTTTTTTCTCTCAATGTTTTATGCCCTGCCTGAGTCTAGCAGGCTTGCCCATACTAATTAATTGTGGGGCTACTATTATGGTCTCTCTCCCGCTGGCAAGTCCCTGAATATGATACCCTGATACCCTGAGAAGGGACGAAGCTATGTGCAACGTCCAAAGGAGGCTCAGCGTGGCTTGCTTCGGTACCCCGATAGCAGTACCCCGATAACATGGGTTTAATACACTACTGACAAACTGGGTATCCAACTCTTGGACTCTTGGACTCTTAGACTCTTGGCCTTAGTCTTTTGGTCTTAGAATTGATCAAAAGTCAGGGTTCATCGAGCATGCGCTAACTATGTTCGAGCCTTCTTGCACAGCCTACCCCTCCCTCTCGAGTCTTGAGCGTCCATGTTGTATACCTACCTACCTGTCGAAGGGAAGCACATCGGCACGATTAGAACAAGGACGATGCGGATGCGGATGATAATAATTAATAAAGAGTACTACCTACCGGAATAGAATGAGTGGAATGGAAGACGGCCAGCAATTCCTTCAATCCGCCTTTGAAGCATGCCGGCCTGCAAGCGTAGCAGCTATTTTTCTAGGGGTTGAGGGTTGAGTAACTGGCTCCGCGCATCAGCAACACAGAGATCGAAACAATGTTGGGCAATCGTCGATTGCTAGCGAGATCGCCGGTGAGGTCCACATTACAGGAACACACCTTTTAAAAATCTTGGCGCGAACTTCGTATCTCTTATAGGGCCAACTTATCGTTTGACAGCCGGGGTCCCGGCCACGCATACATGGCATACATGGTATACATTAACTACTACATATTTGTATTTAATGTATCTACATTATATGTAGGTATGTATGTACATGCGTGATGCTTCCCTAGATTCGCAGATTCGTTAATTGCCCGTCGCCGGCCTCGAAATTCTCAAAGCTTCTGGCGGTCTAATAATACTACTACATTTTCACTTTTATTAACCAAGTCCTGTTAGCCTACGGAGCAGAGCCGGTCGGCTCATGCACATACATACCTATGTACAATACATACATCTGCCTGTGGTACGATGGTGGTCCCTGGAATTCTGAATGCGGTCTGTTTTAATAGTGTACATACCCTGTCCATGCGCGCCAACCAGATTACAAGCCTTTTTGGTAGACGGAAACGGACAACTCTATCTCATGGGATTTTCAGATCTTTGGACATACTCGTCTAACGAGTTTTACAATTAGGATAGGTAGATGGACGAATATTTGTAGAATATATATTCACATATATATATGTTATTTGTACGCTCTCGAGTGCGGCCGAGACACAAGAGCGACATGGTCCAAAAGCGATATATTAGAGATCATCTATAAGTTTATTTAGCAATGGCGCCGGTAATGGATTATCACACAAAGTTTTTTCTTTCTTATTGTATGTATAGCATTTTGAATCATTCGAAATATCTATTTCCGACAGGCTTCACTTAACTTTTGTATAACTAGGTATCCGAACTACTAACTGTTCCATATTTGTGTCTAGTTATAAGAACATTGCATATTAGTTTCTTATCTTTTATTTTCTAACTACATCGTATCGATGACGAATCTATTACTTACTTGCTTACTTAGCTCTACCTGCTCGATACATTCGTTCGCATCCAGGTACATAGCAGAAGAAATATGGATAGAGCGGTTGCCACGATGACGCAAATGAAGCTTGGACTTCAAAATTCTGGTGTCCACACGGGGCGCGCGCGCTTCGGAGCTTTAGGTCCAGTCAGCAAGACGACTCGGCCGGTCTATCTTGGATATACTTCCACGTCCGTGGATGCCTTGTTTCCGGCTCGGCATCTTGGTCGCTAAACGGTCCCAAGAGGCCTCGCGGGGCTGCGTAAGGCCTAGAAAGGCTTGGAAGTTCTGGATTTTTTCGTGTTTACTCGGTTTGCTCATCTTATACAAGTTTTATCCATCTGCATCTATTCACACATTTGTTGGTTGTTCCAAAACGGTCTGGACCTCGTCCCGGAACGAGATGTCATCTGTTTCGGGAATGCAAAATCCAGTTAAATCATTGGATGGATGGATGCCCGGATGGCACCCCGTACCCAGTAGCGCAAGCCCAGGACCTTAATCCATGTGTGTGGTATGTGTGTGGTATGTGTGTTTAGGTCTAGATGTCATAAGAATGGCCCACACAAGCAAATGCCAACATTCGAGCATCAGTTCATGAGCTGATAAAGAGTTGTCGAAATGCCATGGCATGTTATAATGGCCTTTCGATTGCCTATTTGGCATTCGCATTGCTTACCATGCATACATACACACATATATACACACATATACATACATAGGTCGACCGAGGTACAGCACGCAGCACGCCGCACGCAGCACGCAAGAGCTCTTCCATAGACCCGACCCTACGTTTACGGTCTACGTGCCGCATGCGAATCTTGCGATAAGATCAAAACAAACCGTAGATACATACAGTAGATTTCAATGTGCATTTCAATGTGCATTTACATGCTTATTACGCATGCACTATATCTGAGGATCTGGCCAGACCGCATTTTTCTTATACTCAATGCTACTTACTTACGTACCTTACACGTATACATAGGTAGGTAGGTAGACAAACATGCTGAAATCTCGCCAACAAGGTGCGTGTTAATCTGGGGCCGAGCTTAAGATTGTTTGGTACGAGACTTAGCATATATACCTCATGTAGGTATTCACGCCATACATGTACACCTTAGATAACGTGGTAGACTAAGCTCACTGCAGTATACGTACCTTTATACCGAGGAGAATGTAAAGATATAGCTAAAGCTATGTATGTAATGTAAGGATCGCGACGAGAATTACAGCGACACCAATAGGAATTGTGCCATCGAAGATGGCTATTCTATACATAAGGTAGGGTGTAAGTACGGCCACGGCAGAGGCTACCTTGATGTTTACGATAACATGTTCACGGCAACATACTATACACGCACGAACATATGTAAACATGTGAGTATATACCTAGGTTAGTTGAATGTAGGGGAGACCGAGTTGATATTTAAAATGGCGAGACGCTCGTCTGAATATCGACCCAGACCGTACCGCATAGAGCGCTATGCTGTTCCCGGGATACGCCGTTGAATGTTGTCGCTCGACCCGGGGCTCCGCGACCACGACAAGCCCGAGACGATCACCGGCCGTTCGGTATATGCAACAACAAGTCTTACCGAGCTTACGCACGATCGTGGGCCCTTGGGGTTCTTGGGTTCTTGGAATCTTGGAATCTTGGAATCTTGGAATCTTGGAATCTTGGAATCTTGGAATCTTGGAATCTTGGAATCTTGGAATCTTGGAATCTTGGAATCTTGGGGGCCCTTTCTATACATGCCTACATACTTACGTACATACATACTTACATACCGACCCAGCCCGCAGGATACGCCCCGTATTTGCTAACAACAGCACAGCCTTACGGCGGGCGATCTTTTCAGCGACATTCTAACCTAGCTCTTTGATAGTCGCTATTACGTGCATTGTAAAATCGCACTATTCCAGTGTTAGTTACCTCGTTCGGTATATGTAGCTCATTCGCAAACTTCTTCCTATGTATTAATCGTCCGGGGCCGAGATTCCGTAGCTTTCCCTAGCCAGTTTCTTCAATACCTACATACATAACTACACACAGACATAGACAGAAATGAAGATAAACACACGGACACACACGGACATACACTTACGTGGTGTATACTTTCTAGATACCCCCCCGCTATCCAAAAGCTGGGCATTTCTATGTCGATATTAGCCAACGCCAACGCCAACGCCAACGCCAACCGCAACCGCACGAACCTGACTCGCAAGCTTTATGGCGCACATACATACCTCATACATAGGTATACATAGAACATATATATACATGGGTAGGCATGGAAGAGATATACATACCTATATACATTAGACATATATACATTAGGTAGCTATACACTAGGTATTGATAGCTTGGCTATTGGCGTAATACAACCGGTACCGAACGCAGATACCCTCTAACCTAGTACAATACATAACACGCACACGCACGACAGGACAGACAAGGATGTGATTTTCCTCGTCCTCCTTACCTCCTCACACCTCCTCACATGTGCGTCCGTGTGGCACTCTGCTGAACCAAGGTACCATTTTATTTTATTTTACCCCGCGCTGTGGGCTGTGAGCTGTTACCTCGCATGGCGGTGCAGAACTAGGTTGTCTATAACTGCCTACAGTAGAGATACATTACTTATGTCACCGTAATCAGTCATGACGAAATCCGGTTTTCAGCGTTGTGATCTACAATTGATCGGCGCTCAGCAGTTCGACCTGACTCGGACGAAGGAGATACATGCATATATACCTACCTACGTACATACCTCATGTTGAACAGACACCCCTATTTTGCTATGCACGGCATGTATGTATGTGCATAGGAGGTAGTTAGATACATCATGTGCTGTCCCGGCCGAGTCCCTGCAGATTTCAACTGGGCAAGTTACCTAGGTATAGAATAAGAAGAAGAAGGAAAAAAAAAAGAAGAATCAGAAAAAGAACATTTTTCTAACGCTAGAATACCATCGAAAATGCAACTATTTAAAATGTCTCTGCCCACAACCCCCCAACCCCCCCATCTCGCCTCACCAATTGTACCGCGGCCAACGACATGATCAGCTAGCAAGGTATGATGGATGGCGCGGTGTGCAATGTCTAAGTGTGTACGAAGTGAAAAAGAAAATGAACGGTATTAATTATCCAGGGCATCCGCGCGGGATGCGAATGTTGGGAAAATGCCATGCAGCCAGGATCCAGAAATCCAAATCCGAATCAGAATAAATCCCATATCCGGGATCTGCGAGTTTCACCAGAATGCCATCTTTTCCTTTTCGCATTTTCGCATTTCCCCCTTTTCCCGCTTCTCGCGTTCCTCCCTCCATCCATCCATCCCTGCTCCTCCCAACACAGCACAGCACTATATTACATCCCGGCCTGCCTCTCATCTCGCCCCTCGCCTTCACGTGCGACAACGGTCGTACGCCTGTGAGTCTTACATCTATGCCATACCTACCGGCAGTAGGAGTACCGAGCTCGCTCTGCGTACGGCACACATGAATACCATATACAATATACCCATCTACGTAAGAGGCTGTAGCGCTGCAGCGGACACCGAATGTAGGGGACCACGTATCGTGCAACCCACGCGCGCCGCGCTATCATACCTACCTACCTACCTACCTATCTATCTATCTATCTATCTATCTATCTATCTATCTATCTACCTACCTACACCCAACATATCATACCACGGCAGCTCCCTCGCTTCCAGTCCGGCCCAGTCCGGCCAGACAGACCAGGCCCTAAGGCCTTTTTCCCCACCCGACGATCGAGATCTGTGCGAGCCTCTTCCTCCCGGGTCCCTGTTCGAAACGTCGTGACACTTCTTTCCCTTCCCTTTCTTTTCCTTTCCTTTCCTTTCCCCCCCTAGACCGTGGCCGTTACGCGCGCCTGCGTCAAAAACGTAGAGTTGTGTATTGTATGTATGTATGTATGTGTTGATTGATGTACCTAACCTAACCTAAAGGCAAAAACAAAACAAAACGACATAAAAGTCTCACCTCTTCCCTACCTACCTGCATATGGTACATACCCAACGTAGGCAGGGACTAGGTTAGATAGGATACTTTGTAAAAGAAAAGAAACATCTCGTAATGCCGTAGCGGCGAACATTATTCTCTAACTAGGGATTAACTTAATGCACGGGCGGCGATGGGAAGCCGGAGCTAGAACCGGCCCCATATCCAGGCATAGGTGAACAGAATACGTATGTAAAGATAAAGTTGAACAAACGAGGCGGGGGGAGGAAGAGATCCATTCAATTGATATTTCAGACGGCGCGCGGCCTCGGAAAATTAAGGTTGTACTTATGTATGTAGGTAGGTATGTACCTAGGTAGGTATGTAGAAAACGAGTGCTGCAAGAAACGCACGTATTGCATGATGAGAGTTTAACTACTAGAACTAAGCCGATTTAGCCTCTTCTTCCGTAGTCTAGCATCCGATAGCCCCCCCTTCCAAGAACGCCGTAACCATGCGACCGACCCCATGCTGCGAAGAAAAAAAAAGAAAAGAAAAAAAAAAACCAGCAAGTGGCCCCACCGTTACTCTAGACGCCATGCCTTACTTACATTTGTCTGTCTGCGTACATATACATATGTCGTACAAAAACAAAACCCCCTTACTTCGCGCGATCCTATAGAAGCGTAGTACCTCACCTCGCCCTATTTCTTAGCGGGTAGCGCCGGTGGTCCCATCTTGCCAGCACCGGTATCAACCTTTTTATTGGGGTGTTCAGGGACCTTGAAGCTACCGTTGGCACTGCTAGCTGTCCCGCCTCCGGCCACTTGGGTAAAGGTACCGCCCTTAAACCAGCGATCCTCCTCCGCCTTTCGCTTACGATTAAGCTCAGCTTGAACCTTGGGGTCTACAAGCTCTAGTCCCTGAACTGGCGTAAATGCTAGAGACGAAGCTGTCCCTGCACCTCCTCCGATAGTGGACCCTACCCCTGAAGTTCGTAGACCCTTACCACGAAGGTCGATGTTGCCTGATTGGCCAAATCCGCGCAATGACGAAGCTGAGCCGCCAATAGGTGTAGCTCCTCCCCAGCCTTTATGCTTTTGACTAAGCTTCGCTCGTGTCCGGTTATCAATCTGCACTCCACGGATTCGTCCATCGTTTGTCTGGCCGATCATTCCCATGCCCGTAGTAGAATCTCCAATCCCGTAGTCTGTTTCCTTCTCCTCCTTGCCAAACACCATGCGGTTCTGAGCTTTGCGAAGGTCAGTCATCGCAGTTGCCTCCTTGGCCTTGCGAGCCCGTCGACCACCCCGCTTGCGTGAGGGTTTGTCATCTGGGGCTGGCAGTGCTCGTTGGCCCTTGTTTGGTGGCGGTTCCGTCAGTTTGTCTAGCCTCTCTAGACATTGGCCCCTAAGTTCTTCACCATATGACCCGTCAGGGTTTGAGTGGCCAGTGTCCGCGCGTGCAGCTAGGACGAGCTTCGCCGCCACCGCCTTCATGGCCTTCTTTTTTAGATCGGTTGGTATGCCACGGATGATTGGTGAATGGTACAAGTAACCTTGCTGCTTCACGCCCACATTGGTGGCGAATGCCGTATTGCCTGATCTTTTCGAGCCCCAAGCTGCAAGGTTGCAGGCGGGCGCCCGAGAAAGATTAGTTAAACCTCCCGCCGTATTAATCAATTGCGCAGCAGTCAAGGATCCGACTAGGGCTGTAAGGTTGGGAGCAAATATGTTCATCCGAGACTGTACGTAGTCCGTAAGTGTTTTCTTAGCCTTGTCCATCTTGATCATCATATGGCAGGCTTTCAGAATGCGTTCAAGCTCCTCCTGACTTATTTCACGACCTTTCGTTGTAGTGGCTTCGACGGTGACAATCATCAGCGATGGTCCGTCCAGAACCGACTTGAGCGATTCGCCCAGAGGATTGTCGGCTGAGGCTTGAAGCGCTCTGATGCTATCCGAATCCATAGGTCCATTTCCCAGGATGGCCACGACTTTGGCATACTCGATCGGGTTCTGAACAAGCGTTTCAAGTTCGGGGAATCGAGCCGAGTAATGGTCTCTGATGAACTTGTGGACCTTCATGATCTCGCCATCGATCTGAGTGGAGAGAGTGTTGGATTCAGTGAGGATCTTGTACTCGGGGTTGTCCTCAATGTTACCTATATTGGTTGTGTGTGGCGTGAGAGGTTTTGATTGATAGTGGGCGATATCCTATAAGGTCGTAACCAGTCGGTCAGGTCTAGCTCAAGATAGGAGATGTAAACATTTCATCACTGTTCGTAGTGTGAAGCGAGGGAGTAGAGGGTAAACTAACCTTGAGCAGAGGGTCCAGTCTGTCCATAACGGTGGTAACCTTACGGATATCTTTAACTCCGCCTAGCTGCATCTTCTCGACCTTAGCTTTGGTTGCTTCTTCGTCTTCCACGGGTTCGGCGGCGCTCACGCCACCCATTTCTTCGTCCTCATCTGGCTCTTCTTCATCGCCGTCTAGCACCATGTCGTTATTATCGTAGCTTGCCGGAGGGCCAATAGCTGGCCCGTCGAGGTCAAGTCCGGTATCATTTTGCTCCTCTCCATTTTCGGATCCCGAGTCCTCAAAGTCCTGCAGCAACTCCTCCGCTAGAGTCGACATGGCGTCGAACGGTAATATATCGTCAGACGATGGCGTAATTCGATGAGAAAAACTATTAACTTAAAAGTAGATGGATACCTAGTTCACTACGCTTGTATTGCAGGTGAGGAGAAATCCGGGAAATGTACCTAAGATAGTTCTTTGTGTATGAAAGTGAGCAAATTCCAATTGCGACAAGCCGAATCAAAAAGATGTACCATGTAGAAATTGGTCGCAGCCTTCTTAGTCGCGACTATAATTTAATATGGAGCCTTAAGCTTTGCATCCAGTTACAACTCTCCTTTAGTGAAGTCAACGGTCGGTAAAACTAGTTCTTCCGCGAATTTACCGGGATTGGATCCACTTTAATAATTGAACTTGATCTCGTCGCGTTTTGTTATCTTTAATCAGCCTCGCCAACCTCTTATAACATACAACCAACCTGCCCTTGGCTCAAAACCAAACGCTCTGGTTGGCACAGCCATACCACACCATACCTTCCGAATCATCCTTCATTTGTACTCTTCATATTGTCTCCTACACATACATCACCTTACGGATATCATTCACTAAAGTCAAGATGGAGTCCTCACGCGGCCCTCCAAGGGTCAAGAACAAGGCCGCCGCGCCTATTCAAATCTCTGCCGAGCAGCTGCTCCGAGAAGCAGTAGACCGACAGGAGACATCCCTACAGGCACCGACTCAGCGCTTTGGCGACCTAGAAGAGCTTCATGAGTTCCAGGGTCGGAAGCGAAGGGAGTTTGAGAGCTTCGTTCGCCGAAATACGATTAATATGAACAACTGGATGCGCTATGCTGCATGGGAACTTGAGCAGAAGGAGTTCAAGCGCGCGCGGTCCATCTTCGAGCGAGCCCTCGATGTCGATCCGACGTCTGTCGTGCTATGGATTCGCTATATCGAGGCCGAGATGAAAAACAGGAATATTAATCATGCGAGAAACTTACTTGATCGTGCCATCACCATCCTACCTAGGATCGACAAGCTATGGTACAAGTATGTCTACATGGAAGAGATGTTGGGTAATATCCCTGGTACGAGACAGGTATTTGAGAGGTGGATGGCCTGGGAGCCGGACGAAGCAGCATGGAGCGCGTACATCAAGCTGGAGAAACGTTACGGCGAATTCCAACGTGCCCGGGATATCTTCGAGCGCTTTACGATCGTACACCCGGAACCGCGTAACTGGATTAAATGGGCCAAATTCGAAGAAGAATTTGGGACGAGTGATCTAGTTAGGGAAGTTTTCGGCGCTGCAGTTGAAGCCTTGGGCGACGAATTTGTTGACGAGAGGCTTTTTATTGCTTACGCTAGATTCGAGACGAAGCTCAAGGAGTACGAGCGAGCTAGGGCCATTTACAAATATGCTCTGGACCGCCTCCCTCGCTCAAAGTCTATGGGTTTGCACAAGGCGTACACGACCTTCGAAAAGCAGTACGGTGACAGGGATGGTGTAGAGGACGTAATATTGTCAAAGAGAAGGAGACACTATGAAGACCAAATCAAGGAGAATCCGAAAAACTACGATATATGGTTCGACTACGCTCGACTAGAGGAAACTTCAGGTGACCTGGATCGAGTGAGAGATGTATACGAGCGAGCTGTAGCGCAAATCCCGCCGACGCAGGAAAAGAGGCATTGGCGCCGATATATTTACTTGTGGATCTTTTACGCTATCTGGGAGGAGATGGACGCCAAGGATATTGACCGAGCGCGCCAGATTTATAAGCTATGCCTCGACCTGATACCCCACAAGAAATTCACATTTGCTAAGGTCTGGTTGCTAAGGGCGCAGTTTGAAATTCGGCAAGGTGAGCTCACAACCGCACGGAAAACGCTAGGGCAAGCAATCGGCATGTGTCCGAAGGACAAGCTATTCAAGGGTTATATCGAGTTAGAATTAAAGCTATTTGAGTTTGTGCGGTGTCGAACCCTTTACGAAAAGCACATCGAGTGGAATCCGGCCAACTGCCAGACGTGGATCAAGTTTGCCGAGCTCGAAAGAGGATTGGACGACCTCGACAGGACAAGAGCCATTTTCGAGCTCGCTATTAACCAGCCCGTGCTCGATATGCCGGAATTGTTGTGGAAGGCATACATCGACTTCGAGGAAGAGGAAGGCGAGTACGACAAGACGCGCAACCTATACGAGAGACTTCTGGAGAAGACAGATCATGTCAAGGTCTGGATCAGCTATGCGCACTTCGAGATCAACATCCCAGAAGAAGACGAGGAAGAAGCGGGCGAAGAGGAGGAGAGGCCTGTCAGCGAGGAGGCCAAGACCAAAGCCCGCAATGTGTTCGAGCGTGCTCACAAGCGCATGAAGGAGAAGGAGCTCAAGGAAGAGAGAGTTTCTCTGCTCAATGCTTGGCTGTCGTTCGAGCGTACGCATGGATCGGCAGAGGACATCGAGAAAGTCCAAAAGCAGATGCCACGGAGGACGAAGCGCAGGCGCAGACTGGAAGACGACACGTTCGAAGAGTATATCGACTACGTATTCCCCGCAGACGACGAACAGAAGCAAGATCTATCAAAGATGCTTGCCATGGCTCAGGCTTGGAAGCAAGGGGGCGGTGCCGTCAGCTAATCGAGACGAATGTGCGCATTCTGTTCTTCGTGTATCAGATGGAAATACCATACAAATCGACGGTTCGATATTGTACATAGGCTGTTTTACATATTTAGAGCAAAAAAGCCGGTCTAATAGCTATTAGACCTCTGCGAACTGGTCGAATATTGAATTACCGATTACCAGTACGGAACCGAACCTCATCTTGAGAAACCTTGCCCACGTCTGAGTTCCCCCCCCAGTCTCTATAGGACCATAAATTGTATTTATTGTAAAAGGCATCAAAGTACTGACAACTCCATTCCGAATGAACCATGCCAAGAAGGCTGGTGGGGAGGGTAGGGTAGCAATGCGGCTCGGCTCCCTTCCATATCGCCAAGCCATCGACAGAGCTTGAAGGAACTACATTGTAGAGTATCTATGTAGTTCACACAACTTTCTAACCTAGTTTCTCCCACCTAATTAATCCCTAACTCCCGAATACCCAGTACTATACACCCGGGGCAATACAGACGTAACGCAGGACTACCTAGCTCGACTACCTCCGTACTACACCACCCGCCTGACAAGCTACCTGTACACGTGCGGAGCCAAAGGAGATCATCGTTAGCTGCCAGAGGCGCATGACAGTGGCAAGCCCCGTCCCGTCCCGTCCACAACCCAGAATTGGGGAATCCGATCCCCAGTCTCCAACTCCCAAGTTTATGTACCTACCCACTCCACCTACCTACGTACCCTTTCCCCAAGGAGCAAGTAGTCCTAGGTAGATAGGTTCTTTTCGATCCGACTACGGGGGGAGGAGGGAGATCCAGGAATCAAATCAAGTCACATCATAATCGTGGGGGTGCGAGGCGGGAGGCGGGAAGCGGGAAGCGGTCAGCAAGATGATGTCATGAGTTTTGCTGGCAAAAACGGGATGGGGGACGGGAGGTATGTATGTATGCATGCATGTATGTATGTAGCGCCGTATACTTGCATTGGTATATTATGTAGCAGAGGTATGTGAACTCGTATGTAAGAGAGAGAGAGAGAGAGAGAGAGAAAGAGATTAATTGGACATTGATAGCTGTTGCTAGTGTAGGAAACGGGGAGGTATGTAAAGAGGGTAATTTACTACATGTAAGTGAACACTATCTCCGATTCGTACTGCTTCTCCCGATCTCAAGTTAGTATATACCTCGGATGGCATCTCGGTACCATCAATGCGAAAGTATTTCAGCCCGGAGCATATGTTCCTAGATGTCCTGTATTTCCATCCCAACGTATGCAAACAAGGGAGCACGTATGCATGTGCGTATGTACGCCGATGCAAACAGGGGGGCTTTTCTGCAGTCAGATACGGCTAAATAAAGTCCTCATGACAAGTTATATTCCGGTTGCTTGATAGGCTATGCTTGTGCCCAACCATCTCTCGTCGGGTGTTGGTACTCTGTATGCAGATGCCTATAGCAGCGTCAAGAAACGCATAAAAGCATAAAAGCATAAAAGCCCTTAGTTAATTCAAGTTGTAACAGACTATAAAAGAAGCAAGATGTAAATGTTTGTTTTAAAGAAAAGGGAAAAAAAAGACTTTCGTGCCATCGTCCAATCGGAAATAGTCTCAAGGTCGTCTTCGTCGTCATCGTCGTCATCAATCAAACAGGTGGTGATAGTATACCCAAACATCTTGAAAACCTGCAGCTTCCCCCATCCCCAATTTCCCCTCTCTTTCTCCATTTATACACACCATCCCCCCCGGTTACGTGTACCTATAGTAGAATCCTTAGAGATCCCCGTTCGCGATTCCCAACCGAATCTTCTAAAAAAAAAAAAAAACCTGCCGATCCTGTTATTATCCCTGTGCGCATCCTCATTACGGCCGCTAACTAGTTTCGAGCCCCCAAATCGAATTTTGTGATGGCAGAAACGCAAACCCGTGGCATCCGGTTAGCGAGAGACCGTCCACTGGTAGACGTCCCTTGTTCCGCGCTTGTGCTGCAAGGAGGCCGGTGCTCCAGACACCTGGACCCGTTTTCGGTGACGCAGGTAAGAATCAGGTAGCACAGGAAAACCCCTTGCTGCATTACAGCGGGATATATAGGTAGGTAGGTAGGTACATTAATCGTCGCGATGGTGGTGGTGGCGGCGATGACGCCCATCTGTCACACATTAATCAGGATCAGCGAGATGCTCAATTATATATCATAGTAAAATTTCGCGTATCATAAGAGATTCAGAGGAGATAAAAGGAATTAATGCGACGAGCGAGATTTTGTTTTTATTTCAAAACAGCCGGGGTTAGTTCAGCAATGACGCGAGGCAAGCAGCTTTCTTCTTATTCCAAACGCCCTCTATACACCAGTCTTGTATATTTTCCCAAAATCATCAATAGCAGTAGATCGTCAAGTCGTCAAGGGGCACAGCGCGGGTGTTATGCTCTGCAAACCGTTATATGTAGTTGGCGCAGGAGGGAGTAGGGTATATGCAGATTAATGCATAGCGGTGGATAACCCTACCCTCTCACCTCCTGTCGTATCCCTCTGGAGGTGCAGGTAAGGCAGAATAAGGGTTCCCGTCAATGTAATGGGGCCCATCGTCATACCGATTCTCCCGCGCAGGAACTGAAGAGCGCCAATTGTCAGTCCTTGACCTGCCACCAGAGCTGGAATTTGCCTGTCTAAGTCGCTCCAACCGCCTCTCGTGACGCTTTTGTTTCTCTTCTTTCCATTCTCTAACTGCTTTGGCCTGTTCTCGTGCTTCCTTGAGCTCCGAAATGGCGCCCTTGACGCCCAGTGCCGCGATGCCAACCGAGGCCGCATCTTGCAAGAGTGCCTTGGTTTTCAACTTCCGAGCCTCCTCCGGGCTCAGTTTACCTTCTTTAACTGCTCTGTGCCTTGCGTCGCGCTGCCCCATACTGCCATACACATTATTAGCAGCATGGATGGCGGCGACAGCTGCTAAACCCGTCGTAATGAGTTGCTTACGTCGCATTTTCGACGTCATCTTCTTATCTTCGTCTGAATCTCCAAGATCGCTACTAGAAGTAGAACTGGACCTACCTCCTCGTGAGCGGGACGAACTACGCGGTCGTCCGCTACCAATAGAACGCTCCTCCTCATCATAATCATCATAACCGTCGTTGGCAGGGCCTCGGCCTCCTTTCATATAGGCACGAGACTTGTGATCATCGTCATAGCGGTCATCCGACGGGCTTCTATGACGACTCCGGCGAGAAGACCGGTCGTCATAGTCATCGTCTTTCTCATCAGGGTCGTTTCCTAGGCCGATTTTAGCTAGGCTGCGTCGTGTCTTATCGACGATACTGCGGCTACGGCTGCGGCGCCGAGGGGGCGAGGGGCTCCGGCTATCGTATGAGTCGATACTATCCCGACGAGGGCGAGACCGAGACCTACTCCGGCCACCGATAAGCTTTTTAGCGCCCAACGCTCCCAAGCCTGCCGTAGCTAGCGCTGCAAGACCGGGTCCTCCGCCACCCTCGGAACGTGCACGGGAGCGAGACCTGCTCCGACCTGTCCTTCTATCTTCCTCAATATCCTTTCTGGAGCCATTGAGCATGCGGTTACCAAGAAGGCCACCGATAACGGATTCTACAAGGTGGCGTTTGCTATCCTTGGAAGGATCATGAGCAGCATCAATGGTTGCAGCACCGGCAGCCGCGGTAAGAACTCGCTTCATCTTCTCTCCCTTCCATCCGCCAGGCTCCTTTGCAACACGGAAAGCCTCTGCGGCACCTGCGACGAGCGATGCCTTGGCGGCCTTTTGCATTCTAGCCGCAGGAGTATCTTTTGAGCTCTTTGTGCTACCTCGCGAACGGTACGAGTCTGGGCTACCGCGGCGACTTCTTGAATCCCTCTCAGAACCGCCACCGGTCAAGGCCTTGATAGCTCCTCCCAGGCCAGCTGCGGCCAGGGCGTTTTCAAGAAAAGACTTGTTGCCTTTTTGGTGTCTGGAATCGTCATCGGAATCATCGGAATAGTACTCGATAACTTTACCATCTCGTCCTTTGTGAACAATGTAGGTTGACTTTTTGTCATCTTTACTGGCGTGTTTACTATAATAGTCCACTCCTTGGTAGCCTGCAAGTGCGCCGGCAGCGCCAAGAGCAGCGGAGGCGGCTATGTTGCGATGAACTTCGGCGCCTTCCTTCTCTGCTTCATGGCGATCCCATAGCTCTTTGGCGCCGGCGGCGAGGAGACCGCCCGCGACAGCGGCAATGATCTTTTCTTGCTTAGATAGAACGCGCTTGCGGGCCCTCTCCTCCTCCTCGTAATAAACACTAGCGGGCTTCTTACGAGAATGGTGATCCCGTGCACCGTCGTGGCGGCGGGAGTCGTAGTAGTAATCATCGTAGCCAGGGTCGGCGGATTTGGCTCTACGGATATCTCGGGAGTAGCCAGGAGGGGGAAAGTCCCTACTAACTTCCTCGATGGAAAGCTGGTCACTATCTTCCCTCGCTCGAGGCACAAGTGCGGTGCGGCTCGTTGGATTTACTCTGTAGTATGTTTCCTGAGTCTCGGTATACCGGGGAGTTGCCCTCTCACGGCGGTCATCATGGTAAACCCGGCGGGAGTACTCGCGCGGGGGAGGGTCATAAGGGTCGTACGCGGACATTGTTGGCGCGTGTTAGTGGGTGATAGGTGTGATAAGTGTAAGAGTGTAAGAGTATGAATTGATAGTTTGTGTAGTTGGAAACGGATCAAACTCTAAACTGGTGCAGTAAATGTCGAAGTTGGGAAGTTATGAGTAATGAACGGCAGAACGGCAGAACAGTAGCACAGCAATTTACAGCGGCGGGGGGGAAAGGGGGGGCAAGGGCGAGTATTAGGCGCATATGATGCAGTGCCAGTAATGGTGGTGTTGTTAGTGCGGTGCAATTGGAGCGGGGCAATTTATTATCTACTGCTCTGGGCGAAAACAAGCTTGGAGCTGCGTGTAACCTGACGTCAACCCCTGTAACTACATAGGCAAGACCTTTTAAAAGCAAGATGTTAAGTCCTAAGCTGCGCCTCGCGGTGAGAGCGATGCAGTTAGGTACCTACTATGTACATATGTAGGTAGCTCTTTAATGTACGTACCTAGTATGTGCTAACTGAATTTGCCTAACCTACCAACTAACGTCATCGGCGACATAATCCTAGTACTTAGGTATGTATTTACTTTACACTACACAGCAGGGTAGCCCCTACGACGCCTTCATAATATGTTGCAACCGCAACTGCTGAGGATAGAATCTGGTGGAATAGCTGAATAGCCAAGTACGCCGTATCACGACAGACATCGTATCTGGCTACCCAACTTCGAACAAATTAAGTTGCTGTTGGGCGTTGTGTTCATTACACAATCAAGACCCAGACGATATTCCATGCGTTTTAGCGTCTTGTCTATGTCTCAGTATAACGTCACTTGTTTTTTTTGTAGCCTATGAATAGTTCGTGGTGTATATGAAACAGCTGTCTTTCATCAAAGATCAGATTCACCTTCGACATAGTTCGCCATCGCTGCAAGGCATCTCTACCCAATCGTAGATCCTATTGTTCGCGAGTAGTACATAAAGCCCCCCCCCATTATAGGAAAGTCTAGAACCTACATAGCAACTTTCACTGCCCATACCGCCACACTGCCATGCAGCCATGTATGTAAGGGTACTCGCACTAACCTAATCATATGTTAGTTCGACTATCTTCCTTCGTATAGCGAACGTGACAGCTCAGCCTTCGCCCGAAGTGAATGGCTGATTACATCCCTGTGAATACATGGCGACTATTAATGTAAGACGAAACATTCAAAGTCTTATGCGCCGAACAGCTCACCGCGTACGAATGCCGCTTAAAGGTCAGGTGGGAGCTGTTTCTGCCTCAGAAGTGCTTATACCCGGTTCGCTGCACTCTGCTAAAGTCCACTAAGCCCTATGTTCAGTCGCCTTGTATGAATTTTTGGAAATAGATCGGCTAATAAGTGCCAATGTTCTCGAAGGTGGAAGGATCAACATACCCGCCGAGTAGCTATAACCAACCATATAAGAGCAACTCGTGTTAGACCAACGTTCCTAGGCCAAATCACGTTCTACCTAGGTTAGACATATTAGACTTAGCCTAGAATATTACTTATTCATAACATACTATGGTCTTCTTCTGTAGTTAAGAGGAGGCTCAGAAGAGGTTACCCTTTAAGCGTCAGAACTACTATAACAACCAGACCGCATATTATCAACAAGACATAGCAATTCCAAGGATATGTCTGTATATATATCGATCCTATAAAGAACGTGCAATAGCAGCAAACAGACCCTCTATGCACACTTTTCCAGGTCCACCTACCCACTCATCCCCAGCTTAATGTATGTATGCGCTGAATATGACCATGCAATATGTACGACCCACTAGTATCTAACGATGTCTGGCTCCCAAAACGGGGAAGATCCAGACCACTCGAACTCCGATCCCCTGTTACCCTTTTTGAGGGACTTGGAAGGAGCTCCGTCCTGAAAAGGGGAAGGGAGAAGAAGAAAAAAACCCGAGCGGGTTACCCGGTCCTGTTGTGTGTGGTATGATATAACTTAATATGTACCGTATATACTCCTCGAATCCGATAACAACCTCTCGCATTTATGCGCGTATGTAAGTATCCAATATGTATGTAGAAGAGTACGTAGCGGCGATGATATATCCTATTATTATATTACGACCCGAAGTGTTCGCTATGGGGTTGACGGCTATTAAGGAAGAGGTCCAAGGTTTCGATATAGAGCTCTTTCTGGCTAGTTGTAGCTTGGACATGTCGGTTCTGTTCAAGCGCCTCAGCCCACTGTTGCCAACGTGTTCCCGGCGCGGGATCGCCCCAGTTACGGAGCTCTCGGAGTATGCGGGACATTCGGAGGACGAACGGAGCAAAATGAATGTCTACGAGGCATAGATCTTCTCCGAGGAAGTATGGACCCTGAGCAGCGGATTAGAGATGTCTTGAAGGGCAAAGTAAGGGATGGAAAACCTACCCTGTCGTTAGCGGCTTGAACAAGGGCCGTTATCTCACTCCGGAGCCTCTCTGCGTATTCCGATTGCTTTGCGAAATCAGTAGCCCTCGCGAGAGCGAAGAAAGCCGGAACTATCCTTGCATTGATCTAGATCAACTAGTCAGACTCTCTGTCATTTACGCGGTAGATACTCACTAGGGGAACTCACATGGTCGATCCATAGTCTACAGTTTGCTTTTAGTCTAGGGTCTGTGGGAGAGAGGGGTACCCTTTGGTTATGGTCCTCAAGCTAGCAGGTTGGACGGTCAGCGATTGAGGGAACCATCTATAGTCGTCTTACAACTCTAACAACTTACGTATTCCAAGATGATGGCACTCTCACCGCTGGCCCAGTCGCCTTCACGAATAGCTGGAACCAGGCCTCGTGGATTTGCTTCTAGCAACTGTGTTGGGCGCTTGAACGGATCTGTCTCGCAATATTGATACTGCATACCCTTCGCTTCCAGAGCAATCCATACTCTCTGCGAAAAAGGGCTGACAAGGGGGCTCGTTAGCTTATAAGTCACCTTATGTGCTAGGAGGATAGCTTACCAAAAGCAAGCAGCATAGAGCTTTAATTCGTGCTCCTTCGAGTGCTTTTTCGCGGTTGCAAGTGCAGCTCCTGACATCCTCCTAGGTAAAGGCTTCTATAGGGGTAAGTTAGTGTGACGAGTTATAGCTAGCTTTTAGAACTACCGGGTGTGAATAGAAGATAATAGGAGCTGAGCGGGACTATTTGCCACCCTATTCTAATAAAATTGCTTTCCTCCACTGTGCCAAAGGGAGATGTTACCGTTCTAGATCACTTGTATCTTGACAGAAGTTTTCCATATATAAAACCGGGTATAAAGGTAATCGCAACTATGGTACAAGGAACAACCCACCTGAATCTTCTTCGCTTCTTTTTCTTGCGAGGCAATATACCTCTGTACGGTTGACTTCTTGATCTCATCGCTCTTCTCTAGGCTATGCTTGTGAGGACCAGCGACGCCGTCGCCCTTACCGTTCCCGCCATTGCCATTGACTCTTTGTATTGTCCAGAATTTCTCTCCGTTGAGATGAGCATCCATAGGCCGTGGTAGACCGTCGCTAAACATCGGCTGTTGTGGAGATTGGTAAACACTTGGCGAAGCTAAATTGAGGTTCGAGTCCACGTCACCAGGTAGGATCGTCGCTCCCGGAAAGTATTCGGTAATCTTGATCTTAACATCGCATAGATCTCTCTCGCGCGCATTCCGCTTGCGCTTCTTCTTGGAAGGGTCATCCGATTTGGGCGTTCCCGGTGGTCGTCCCTTCATTCGGCAATCCCAGTAGTGCGATATAAAAGGCTTGCGCTTGTACTTTTGGGTGGAACGATGTGAGTAAACATTGTCGATATGGGGGAAGTACGTCTCGAATCTAGTTGGTAATTAGTACAAGGACTCGGTTCCAAAAAAGAATCCTGCTTCCTACTGGTCATTGGTCAAGATAATCGTATCATCGACATTAAATAGCTTCTCGCGCCAAGCTTGAAGATCGGGTGGGTCAACGACTATCCTATTGACCAATTGGCCGTGGGGCCTCGGCTCTGAGGATTCGGCAGCTGAGGAATTGACTTGCGCCGATTGGATGAATATGTCCTCGTCTTGTTGAAGCTGGGAGATAGCAGTTGGAGACATGCCATTGTGCGTTAGGATGCCGAATTGACTGGAGGCAGGCGGCGCCGAGTGCGACGATAGAGGGAGAGAGGTATGGTGTTGATGTGGAGTTCGGCGGATGTCAGAAGTCGTTTCGTTATGGGAGCGCTGGAGCATGTGAGCCGCATTTGGCTCATTATCGAAATCATCTTGAACATGCGAAGTATAGTCGCCCGGGACGACGGGGATGGCGGGTAGGGCTTGTAGGCGTTGGAGGTCTTGTTGGAGGTCTTGTTGGAAGATGGGATCGGTAGGATCGAGAGTGGATAGATCGAGGTTCGTATGCGATGAGAGGGTTGGGACACGGAAGTGATGCGATTGTTGAGGGTGATGGTTATGATGGTGAAGTTCGTGCGACAGCGAAGCCTCGGTTCTTGGAGGAGGTGGTTGAGACGTTTGCTGTTGGTGCTGCTGCTGCTGCTGCTGCTGCTGCTGCTGTTGTTGTTGTTGTTGTAGTAGTGGTGGTGGTAGTGGCGGCGGCGGCGGCGGCGGCGGCGGTTGTGGGAAAGAAACGGAGGCGGGGTCCATCATGGTTATGCCTTTGGCATGTATGTATATAGTCTGTCTGCTGCTTGGTGACGATGCTGCTTAGTGCCTCTGAACAAACTCGGCGCAGCTCACCAAGCATATTTTTACCCCATTCTCAAGTTGGATGTCGTGGGCGAAGTGTCTTCGCCGTCATGATTTGACTTTTGCTAGTTAGAGGAATTGGCTTATCCAAGGTAGGCCAAGGCAAGTAGTGGAAAGTCAACAAATTGGGTTAATGGAATCGGAGTCGGACGATACCGGCAAGGCGGGAAAGAGTCTAGAAGTTACCTAGAACGTACAAAGGTAGAATAATAAAAATAATAAATATATAAAAATAAAAATAAAAATAAGATCAGATGGAAAATGCTAAAATGCGAGAAACGCCAAAAATGCCAAAAGCGCCGATAGAAGCTGAAAAGTGCAGCTCATGAAATTGCCCCGCCTTGAGGGTCCTTTGCCCCATTCAAGGTACCTACGGTATGTAGATATAGGTGCAAAGCATTGTCCCAGGGCGGCCAGACCTACTTCCCTGAGAAGCTTAGTCTAGTCCTAAAGTAGCAAACGAACACCTGTCTGTACCTTATCGTCCCATTAATTCCTATCAATTCCCATAGGTCCCACATGCCGAGGAACGGCCTAACTTGCACTAATCCTGCACTACATACCTACCTACCTAAGGTACCTACGGATTACATATGTACATACCTGTATACCTACCTAGGTAATCTACACTATAATCTACACTATAAACCACACTATATACCACACTACCTATATAAGCTGCACCAGTATAAAGATACCGGCGGCACTACCTAATACAAGGAGGAATAAAGCGTACATCATACATTTCATGCAACCTAGGAGCTGATGTATGTATGTAAGTGTAATGGTAATACCTACATGTAATATACTTGGGCCAATAATCGTCACCAGTAGTGGGAATTGGACCCTGACGATCTAATAAGATCTCATCCATTCTCTATCCTCGCACACTTCGTAGCATTGCCCCTCACCCCTCATTCCCCGAGACACACATACCAAGCTGAAAAATGCTCCAAAGTCTGGTTCCCTTTCTACGAATCAACCTCTCATTACGAGCCACGTTGAGTTATCCCGAGTGAGAATGACCCTCTTTCTGGTAAATATGGCGTCGTGATACGAAGGAGCTTGCGTGCCCGCATCTGCAGCTTTCTAACTTGGGTACCTGATAGCCGTCGGGTCGCCAATCCAGAGCTGTTCCCGCGATATTTGACAGATAACGGGCTATTAGATAATAGAAAATATACTTTCCACTCATCGTGCAGGTGCTTATAGATTGGATTGCGTGATGCAATACTATATCCAACTTTCAACTCCAACTGGGTCTCTTCGTAAAATACGCATTTCTTTGGGTATCTGCCTACATCGTATGATCTCGTCATTTATTTGTCTATGTGAAGAGGTATGAATGGAATATATGGATAAGTGAGGTAAGGGATCCTTTCGCCTTCTGTTACCGAGGTATTAGAAAATCCAACCCCGTGCCTCATGTCATAGCAATCTACTATACAGTTCCAAAATGGACGTAACTTCCGTGTCGATATTCCGCGTGCAACACTTATAACGCCCCAATATATCCCAACTCGTAATAAAAGTGCCCAGCCTGACGGTCAACTCTGTACATATACAACCCTGCCTTGCTCCTGTTCAGCTTATATCGAGAGAAAATGGACATGCCTCGATTAGTTAATGACCCTCGTGATAGCGTTATGTGTTAGAGTCCCATCCCAAGTCCATTCGTACATCCAATAGGTGTTGAAGAACCCCATCGGTCACTGGCGTCATATCATTTTGCCCAGCCCAATTATCTGGAAGTGTGAAGCCCTGGTCTGGAGTCATGCCTGTACCACCACCCCCCATTTGAAAGAAAGCAGCTGTAGTCGCGTCCATCTCGGCTTGCGACCCTAGATTCTGGTGGGATCCGATAGGATTGGTATCGAAAGACCTCCTGCTGCTCGAATTTGCCATCTGACCAGGCCCTGTCGTGCTCTGGCGATTATCCGAGGCGGTACTCGAGTTCGGTGTTGGTCTATTTGATGGTCCGTCGGTGTTCGAGGATGCTGATATATCGTTTGAATCGCTTCCAACCCCTTCTACGAACCCTGGGAACATTATGGGAGGAATTGTTGCGTGGTTGCAATTATTATTACTAGCACTCTGGTCGCGAGTAGCCGAGTTTTGTTCACTCCCAAGCCAGTTTTGACCCGCGAACTCATCCACCAGTTGTCTACCGTTGATCGGGTGGCGGTTTTCAGCTTGATGATTATTAGAAGCATTTAGCGGGTTATCGTTTCCCACGTTTGCATGGCGATAAGCAAGAAGGCCACCACCTCCTGACTCGTGATCCGTTGTTGGGCAGTTAGCATCTCCAGCACCGTTTTTTCGATAAGGCATCTTTGGGAGTTTGACTCCGGAGCCAGGCTTGATGCTGTTAGTCTAGGGCATCTATCATGAATTATTAGGTGAAACTTACGCTATCCGCACTCCTTGGGAAGGCAGACTTGAGCTTAGGTATTCGCGTTCCTAAAGCTTCTAGATCGACATCTAATTGTACCAAGAATGATTCAGTTAAGGGGTTCTTCCTCTTCAATGCATTCATAGCAGCAAGGAGGAACCGTAGCGAATCTGCTGTCTGGCTGTCGTCCGGCCTACTCTTTAGGTATTGAACAAATACTCGTGCAGCAACGTATAAACAGAAAGATATGAACGGATTCATCTACAATACTGTTAGATGCGGGGCTCGTTCTCGTATAGGATTCTTCAGCAGGCACTTACAGCACACAAGTCTAAGTGAGATACCATTCTCATGATGCTAGCAATCTCATTCGCTGCCGTGATGCATCGAACTTTGCTTTCCGAACTAACAGACGGTGGGAGTTTATTCCGGTCTGCCTTGAAGATAGCCGCTTGGTGAAGACATATCGTCGAAGTATAGATGTTCATATTAGTAAATACGATATTGGGATTAGAAAGCCCGGTAGGAAGTTTTAGATGGGTTGGTAGACAGAGGGACGTGTTTAACAGAATGTTGTCCATATTCCTATGGCGTTTCCAGAACTCCCCGTTGAGGTCGTGATCGCGGTCGTCGGCATCTGGCCGATGAAGATGGACTAGATTGCGGCCAAACAAACAGGCCATCAATACTATACCCCCAAAGGATGAAAGCTTGGCGGCTCCAGCTGGGCACATTGAGTCTGCAAGCGATTGCGTCTGTTCCGGTCGACTCATTTCGAACGCCTCCTCCGAAGATGGCAAATTGGTCATGATATCTCGCTCATCGACCGTCATGGGCCAACCGGTACCAATACTGGCATACCGGTCCTGCGAGAAGGCCATCCAAAAGGTCCTTCGCCTCTCTTCACGCTCCGTCCAGTCGCGAGGAGGCGGTAGACATTGCTTCACATCAAGGCCCGTTCCGTCAAGTCTGTGCAGTCCAATCCTAAAGGTCGTGAGCATAAAGTCATCCACGCTAGCTTTAGTTCAGTACTTACATCTGACATAGGCGCACAGCAGCGCCTGTGCTCATCCATGCTCTTGGGAAGTACATCATCTTGAATTCATATGAGGCAAGTAGCACATGAGTTTGAGCATGAGCTACTGAAATCATGTGCTCGCCATAGCCTTTGACGTAATCTGCCTCAATATACTTACGAGCGCGTTGGTAAAAGAGGTCTTTTAAATCAGCGAATTTATCTGCTACCGCGCAGGCCTGGGTCCAGATCGCATATCGCAGCGCAACGGGAGGTCGTTGGTTTGGAGCCCTAGTGAGTGAATAAGCATGGAGACCAACATCGCAGTACGAAAAGTTAAGGGTAGGTACATGGTAAAAATGCAAAGGGTATATCATACAAATTCATTGCTGCTAGGTACCGGAATTTATGAATCATGGGCAACGATGGATGGATCTTATCGAAGTATATTTGATGCCTGCGAGTTTCTGTTAGTATAGATCGCGTGCATATACGGTAAGAGACCCTGACAGTTCATCGATCTTCTCCTGCGGCGGGAGAGGTTCCTCTAGTCCAAGACCAATCATCTCCCACGTAAAACTGCTGTCCATACCGCCCATGTTCAAGTTCCCGCCAAAATTAAATTCATCTAAGCCGGCGGCGGGTTGTGGTGACTCGGCATTGAAATTCCATTGGTCCATATCACGATCCCTTGGGATGTTTAATTGAGGGTTTGGAATATTGAAATTGGGCGTCGGAACGGTTCGTTGATTGCGATTCGGTTGTTCAAAGGTGGTGTTTGGCGTTTTGCCCGTATCAACCCCGACGGTAAAAGGCGGCTCTTGGTTTTTATTCAGGAGCGTCTCGACCTGTTCTAAATGAGAGCAAGACCCCTTAGTTCCTATTCACTTGTTCTAATAGGTGTCTCGTTGAATTGACACTTACTCAGTCTCTCTTCTAGAGCCTTCACGTATCCCCTTTTAGGGCCACTCTTTCGTCTCACTTCATCGTAAGCGCAAGCGTGTCCTAACCTCGTACATGTGCTACAACTCGGCTTTACGCCGTCGCATCTGAGCTTGCGTTTTCGACATATCATACACGCTAGCCGCTTCGGCCTGGGAACGTTGCCATTATTCTGATTTTGAGACGCCGCCGGCGGGCTCGTATCGGCGGTTGGACTGTTATCGGTACCTCCCTGAGACCCAGAGTCGTTGACTGCGGCGCCAGGGGCTTCCCCAGTCGAAGTCGACATAATCTAAGACAATATTAGATAGTGCGGGAAAGCGGCTACGGCTCCGCGATGCGCCGGTAGAAGACCCCGAGCAGGAGAGCCGTATGTATTTCGAGATGCGCTTCGGCCTCAAGTTACAATAGCGTCTCGAGCACGCGCGCCAGTTCGAGGACCGCTGTCCAAACGAGATATTGGCGCAGTTTAACCCAACCCGTTCTAAAATCTTTTTCTCCTGTTTTAAAATATTTCCTACTCTCCAATACTCTGTCTCGATGCTTTGATATGTATCGTTGAGCCCCGAGCGGTATAAGCCTTAAATCTTACGGCGGGAAATCGAGTCAATAAGCATTGGCGAGTAGACGGGGAAAATGTATGGAAGCTGTGAAGAGGGTCTTTAGGAGAGGGGATCCCGGGTCTAGTAATGTGGGGAATGATCTTAATAGAATATCTTTTCTATAGGAGGTAGTTTAGGTAGTTAAGTGGAATTGCAATGGTATTATTGCTTGGGACCGAGTAGTTGAAGAGCATGCAGGGCTGAAGAGCGACCCAACTTCAAGATGAGATTAACAGTAGCCACGCGCCGCCGTGTAAGAAAATAGCGTATGCCTCTATACGAAATCCTGAGGTGGTGACAAGTAGATACCTAGGTAAGCTATTAGGTTAAGGCATAGGCAACAGGAAGAATGACTACCTATTCTCTATCCATACGAAGTACGCTCATGCAAAATTAGAGGGATACATAGGAATGAATCCCGGTCGCTATGCCACTACATATGTACATGTAGGTTATGTCCTTGTGCTACCAAGCACAAAGGAAAAGTTAAGGCAATATGAATTACTAATGTAAGAGGGACTTGTCTACTTTACGCAGTAGGGCTGAGTACCTAGTAGAAGTACATAGCAGAGTGGGTTCTAGTTTGAATCGATCAACCTACATAAGATTATTAGCGGGGTCTCGAGTCCTCTAATTACCTAAGATAGGTACCTAACCTAGGTACCTATGTAGGTAGGTATGTAGGTAGGTATGTACCTAAATATTTACCTACTTTGCGCCGTTCTTGTTATTAACGTTTATAGCAGTTCATTCGGAGTACTGGTTTCACATCTGCTAAGCAATACAAGCTATAATCAAATTTGATTGGCTATTCTATTTTCTAGAACTTATTAGAACACTTAGTTGTCCGGAACCTCTCACATTGAAGGAGATAAGCGGGGAGCTGCTGTACCATGTAAGACAACATTCCATATATCTACAGACCTCCTAATTCTACAGCGCAGTCCGTAAAGCTTAGCGAAACTGCGCTAAGTTAAGCCTACATCTAAGCTTAAAATAACAAATGACCCAAAAATTCTCCATCTCAGCACTGCCAAGTAGGCGGCCGTAAGCAGTGTGCAGTTTGAGTAAATAACCATGATTGGCGCAGAGAAAATTAACAGCCTCAGAGCACTGCGATGCCAATTCACCGTATAATACTCTTGTTATCAAAGCTTTCAGGGAAAGGCAGTGCATACTGAACAAACTTCTTATTAAACTGCTGTCTCTCTCAGTAAGCTTTATGTGATAATCCAGGGTTATTGGCAAAATAGGTATTATCTCGCGAGATAGCTTTTCGTATGCTATATCAGACGTCACCCCCAACCCTGTTAAACCAACGCTTGTCTCTAATGGCAATAATAAGCAGCATTAGGTCCCTCTATCCGTCTAGATTAGTAACCCCGTTTTTAGCGACTGCTTTTTACCACGATCCCTAAATCCGCCGTATACAAATGCAATTTATCTGTATTCGTTCAGAGTTCGGTCTTTGTCATCGTTGCAGCTACCGGAACTATGGACTTCTTCTAATTACCTGTTTTCATAACCGTAAATCAAACTGACTCTAAGTCTTCTTACTTCGTCCCTGGGCTGGCCCCTATTACTCGTAGACTTCCCGAGTCAATATAGGCGAGTGAATATCGGTTTGGAGACCATGCAATGACGGGAGAAGGTGTCGTAGTCTTATATGTGCAGAGATGATCTCCCGTTTCGGAGTTGAAGATCTCCAGTCCGGATCCTATAAGCATAACAAGAAATTTAGTCTCGGTATCAACAAATGTATGACTTGATGATACTCACCCTCCTCACTTCCGCCTACTATATAGAGACCGTCCCAGGAGAAACCTGCGCCGAAAAGTTAGCGCGGATGGTTTGCCGTGTATGATTTCAATCTACGTACTAAGACTGCGAACTGGACCGGTCATCTTAGTCGCAGTTCTAACACAGTTCCATTCCGTTGTTTCCCAAAGCGAAATCAGTGAATCTGTTCCGCCCGTGGCTAGGTACCGATTATATGGATGTAGTTCAACAGATATGCAGGATGAGGTATGCCCGGTCAACTTGAATTCGGCATCTGGACCTTCTTTGTAGTCAAATTGGTAGGCAGGCTCAAAATTCGGGAATGAGAGGATTCTTGTTTTCCCATCTCCAGTAGTAGCAAATATTCTCTGGCCACTCCAGCAGAACGCAATGTCGTTGGTCTGCACAGGCTGTTGGTGTGACGAAATTGGTGTGCTTTGGGTTGGTGAAATAATGAAGAGCTTATCTTCCTATAGCAAGGGGTCAGAGTTTGGAAAGGTAGGCTGGATGAGAATGCTTACCTTATTCCCAACAATGATACATTCGCCGCGGGGATGCCATGCTAAAGTGAAGGTCTCGCCTAAGCCTTTAACCTCGTTCAAGACCTGCTTAGTCTTGACATCCCAGAATCTAACCACTCCGTCACTGCTCACGCTACATAACTCGAGCTCCTTGACGGGATTGAAGGCAACCTTTTCGATTGATGCCGTATGACCTTTCAACTCGGTCGTTTGACGAACGTTAGGTTTGTCCGCATTCCCTTGAACCAGCAATTAAGCATTAGTATTCCATACTAGAGTGAACATAGAAATCCCAATTACATCGTCCTAAAGGGGTATTCTTATGTTGCCGAGTCACGAGCTGAGGATGAATCACGTACAGACGCGTAATGTTTTATCTAAACAACCAGTCGCAATATAATTACCCAGTGGATTCCAAGCAATTGTGCGAATGCTAGTAGAAGTAACCAGTCAGATCTTAGATTATAACAAAAGGCCCAGGAGTCGTACCCGCCAGGAGGTATGAGATCGCAGCACGCATATTATGAGCACTGAGTAGGGAGAAAAGTAGGTAACTAGTAACTTACTTATTTGGAGTCTTGTTTACGGCCGGGTCATGGTATATCGTTGGTTTCAAATTGGGAAGTATAGTCTTGAACTTATCAGCCGCCACGGACGTTCTCGGTACTACGCGCGCCATAGCTTCGCGGGTGGATAATGGCTATGCCGTTACTGCGGATAGAGCAGAAAAATGATCTCATGCCAATATATGGTGTTTCATGATATGTTTCGACGGAAATCCAGCGGATACTGAACAGTTCTATGCTTCTTGTCGGAAGTTGAATAGTTTTGAGGTTGTGAATTTATTGTTTGAAGCTTTGAAGCTTTGAAGCTCGAGGTACAAAGATCCAGATGTACCTAGGTACCTAAAGTGAATGGTGCAGGTGAGGTCCACTCCATTGGCCCACTTTAGCTTGGTAGGTACGAAGTACATCATCCTAATCTACCTAAATATTTGCTTAACCACCTATCCTCATATCTCGAAAGATATTGCTATAACTGCTGTAGTCAATTATTACGGGTTCTAATCATACATACTGTGATGCATCCGCATATGGACCTCTCATCAGTGCACATGTATTTAGGTACTTTATGTATCAACCCGAATTAACCTTCCCCAGAAGCTCGTCCATCATCACATCGAGATGTTACCAACTGACGCAGTTTTCACATAGCGGCACGATTGGCCGTTCATATTCTTATTGTACCTTGTCTATGACTTGCCAATACTTGGGGTATACGGATGAAGGATCCAGGGGCCTGTATTAGCCATGTACTGGCCCATTGGAACTCCTAGAATATATGCGACAACTACTAGTCAAGTTTCTACTAAGTCGAACTTCGTCATATCCAACGATGGCGTCTCTTCTATCGCCGCCGATAGCGACTCATTGTCCAGCTCTGAGCCGCCCCCTCCCCTACTCCTCGACGAAAAAGACAGAACCATATCGGACACATATATACCACCTCTCACACCCGGTCTCAGAACTCCAGCCACTCCAGCTATAAACTCGGTGGAACATGACATCTATCATGATGGTAGCAGCTCTAATTCCCAGCAGCATCTCGCAGGGACCGGCGGAAGTACTATTCCAGCTGGAGATCCAATTATTGCTTTGAAAGTGTCTAGGACCGGTCATTTATTTGCCGTCATTACGGCCACTACTATGACGATATGGCAGACCAAAGTTCGTCCTTCATACCACGTTGTGTTTTTATTTTACCTGCTAACCATAGCAATGCCTACTCCTAGCCCACTGTGATCCAAGCCGTCGTCGTTCGATCCGAAGCGTCTATTAGATCCTACGGTACCAATGTCGCTCTCTTATTAAGACCCGATTCCGTTATCTTCGTCGTTCAAACAAGTTTGGGCTTCTTAATTACGTATTCCCTTGCTACCGATGCCGAGTCCCGCGTCTACAAACCTCACTTTTCAGACCATAGCAACATCCAAAGGCGACGACAAAGTCACTTTGGGGGTCCTGGTAATAATACACCCGACCAGATCCTCTTGGGTCCAGGTGAAGGAGCTGGGGTTCGTGATATAAGTCTCCGTTTTCGTAGGGTGATCAAGGTGGATGCCGGTATTGAACATGCTATTGCTCTTGACGACGAGTTGGTCGTCGCCACCAAAAAGCCGGCGGCTGTTCAATGCATCAAGTGGACCCCGGACAGCAGCGGTGGTCAGACGAGTACTGAGCTTGTAAGTCGCATGGGTTGGTTGGAGAAAAAGGTATCGATCAAAGAAATGACCCATGATCGGCCCATGAACCTCTCTACTTGGGTTACGAGTGACGGGAAAGCCTATGCTGTGCAACGAATCTCAGCTAGTCAGGCCAAAGACAACCCCGAATTCGACCCCAAAAAGCTTTTCAAAGGCTACTGCTTCCATTCGCCTCTTAGCGGCAGTGACCATGCCGTCAAAGCAGTCGTTAATGCCAGATTCTCACTAATAGCTGTAGGCTGTATTGACGGAAGCATCCGCGTATACTCTGCTAAAGATTACGCTGGCAACATCCCTCCATCTCATGTCCACCGAATCCCAGTCTCGTCCGAATCGGCAGGTCCCTTAAGAACTCTAAGTTATTCCCCAGACGGATATTGTCTTTTCGCCGGCTATGAAGATGGATGGGCAACATGGAGCGTGTTTAGAAAGACTGCCGGTCATAGCTTCCATAACAATCCCTCTATCACCTCCACTAATCAAGAGGGATGGTTAAGCGGCATCACAGAAGCTAGTTGGATTGGCGGAGCTTGCGAGATATTGATGATTGCTCGTCAGAGCGAATCCATCTGGTTGCTTGAGATGGCGCGGAGTGCAGTTACTGGTTGCTACACTCCTCCTAACCTCTTCCGTACCGTACTACAGAGTTCGTCCAGCGTGATGGTTTACCGGGGTTATGATCTCCCAGATCTCACCAGTATCTCCGCTGAGCCGTTCCTTTGGCACAACGCTAGGATCCCCGCCAATTATCTCCTGAACCAATGGCCGATCAAGTGCACCGTCGTGTCTTCCGACGGCAGATACGTTGCGGTTGCGGGCAGGCGCGGGCTCGCACACTACAGCGTTAATAGCGGTAGGTGGAAGACGTTTGCGAATGATGCCACGGAGAACGAGTTCCAGGTCAGAGGCGGGATGTGTTGGTATCAACACATTCTCGTAGCAGCTGTCGAAGCAAATAGATCATATGAGCTCCGGTTATATTCGAGAGAAGCTGCCCTAGAAAGTTCAACCGTCATGTTCACTCAACAAATGCCAGCACCTATTGTCTTGATTACCCCGTCCGGAGAAGACTCTCTACTAGTCTACACCTATGATAACCTTCTTTATCACTTTGTATTTGCGCCCGTTTCTGGTGCGATAAGACCCATACAAGTGGGACAAATCGCCTTCCACGGTATTGTCAGATCTCCCGCCAGAGTGAGGGGCCTTAGTTGGATATTACCCGAGAGCCAAATGATCGACGGTGACCCCTCACAAGATGTCGCGTTTGCCTCAGTCTTGTTCCTGGTAGATGGGAAGCTCGTCCTCCTCCAACCTTCCGTCAATAGCGAAGGGCAGCTCAAATACGATATGCGTGTCATATCTCACAACGTAGAGTTCTACGTCAGCATGAGAGACCAGTATTCTGTTAACATGTTAGGCGAGTCTAGTGCGCGGTTCTCTACAGAGTCCGAAGAAAACAGTCTTCGGAATTCGTTATGGGTATTTGAGGGCCATGAGTTGAAAGTCTGGCCCGATGTCCAAGACGTTCTACGAGCTACTTCAATTGAGCCAATGAAAGAACTACCGTCTACGGTCTCTATGCCTATCGACTTTTATCCTCTCTCCATCTTATTAGGTAAAGGAATCGTGCTAGGGGTTGAACCCGAATTAGTCCAACGACGAGACATCAGTTTTTCTTTTTTCCGCTTCTCTATCAGGGTAGGTAAATAGGTTATCCTTTCCCGTGCCAGGCTAATGGTCTTTAGACTCATCTTTTCCTCCCTGAAATTCTGCGTTTTTATCTGGTAACAAACAATGCTGCTGCGGCACTCAAGTTGGCTCGGCAATACCAAAACCTCGAGTACTTTGCACACGGCCTAGAGGTACTGCTCCATCACGTTCTCGACGAGGAGGTCGACTCGGCACCTAAACCAGAGGCGGCTATTCTTCCCAGGGTGCTTTCTCTCTTATCGTCTTTTAAGCAATATCTAGATATTGTAGTTCAATGTACAAGAAAAACCGAGGTTAGGTCTTGGAGAACGCTCTTCGCATACCTACCCCCACCACAAGAGCTTTTTGAAGAGTCTCTTCAGCGGGGTTCGTTAAAAACGGCAGGAGGCTACCTGTTAATATTACACACATTCGATGAGCTAAGTGCAGCATCGGAGCAGTCGGTGCGGCTGTTTTCTCGGGCGATCCGAGAAGAGGATTGGGAACTCTGCAAAGAGTTGGCTCGGTTTCTAGCGGCAATGGACGAAAGCGGGGAGACATTAAGAGAGGCAATGGAACTAGTCAACATCCGAGTCAAGCAAGAGTCGGATGATACAGACATAATGTCTAGACTCGAGGTGCCGCCTCGGAAAGCTAACGGCAGCTCCCGTATGACGAGACAGAACTCGGAGACAGGCTCCGACGCTCAATCAGCGAGCGACATAAGCAGCTTGGGCACAGCTAGTCCAATATGATAGAAGGGTTTGATTGGGATAAAATGGGACGAGCGAAAAGTGGTTTACATTATTCACATGGTTATATGCTTAAAGGATCGTATTGCAAATGTAAACCTTTGGGTCTGGTTAGAATGCAGGCCCATACTGGTTTGTTAAAACGTAATTCTATTGTTCTTGAAACTACCTTACCTATCCTGAGGAGACGAGGTCTGAATACACGTCTAAATACTTGTTGAAAGTGGCAAAAAGATGATGTAGAGAGTTATCAACGCGACTAATCATAAGTGAAGATTATCTAGTTATACCCATATCTTTGGTTGATTATCTAATCTTACGTAATTGATGCCGTCTACATGTAGGTACATAATTTATATGTATCTTGGTACTACCTCTGCATACAAAGGTACATTACATGTATTCTTTGGGCAGGTAGAGTAGGTCCATCTACATCTCCGGATACACCTGCGAGGCTGTTGAGGCTGAAATCTGGACCCACTGGACTTTTCGTGCCCCCCCCCACTAGCAGCCCACTGAACCTTGATGGCATTTCATCAATTTTGGTTGCTAAGGTTGTTTGCGCCTGAACCCCTCCATCTCCGTATTCCCATACGACGCGACCTAAGAGCATTATCCATTCTAACCCTCATTTCGCTCTCTCCCACTCTGACCCTTTCGTCACGCGGACTTAACCGCCCAGACTTAACGTCGCATCGACTATAAACCCAGCAGTTCTGTCAAGACTGCCCGACGTGGTCATGATGGACGAGTTCGCTTCCGAATCTGATAGTGACTACACTAGCTATTGGCGAGATTGGGTAAGTGCACGTGGTTCTTTAGAACCTTCTTCCAGCACGAGTACGCAGGCGGTGTAGTGGGTAGAAAATTCCAATGGCACGGGAGCTTCCATCGAGAGTGCATTCCACTTTAGGAATACTTTAACTCCTTATCTTTGTTCGAGATAATCCTTTGTTCGAAAGTATCGATGGCAACTGGCAACTCGCAACTCGCAACTTTTCCCCCGTATTTGATTCGTGGGAAACTCGTCTTCGAAGTACAGTGGCGTTCCCTCTGCTCTGTACAAAAGAATTATATCATCAAGCCTACAAGCCTACAAGCCTATTTCTTTTTCTTTTAGCCAGCATTGATCATGGGAAGTTCGCTCCCACCGACGTTTTATACTCCAGTCCTTCGTCCTCCTCTC